CTCAGCACTTCTAGACGTAGGACCTCCAGGCTCAGCACCCCCAGGCGTAGCACCCCTAGGCTCAGCACCCCCAGGCGTAGCACCCCCAGGCTCAGCACCCCCAGGCGCAGCACCCCCAAGCTCAGCACCCCCAGCAGTACCACCCGAAGGCCCAGCACCCCCAGGCGTAGTACCCACCCGCGCAGCACCCCCAGAGTCAGCACCCCCAGGCTCAGCACCCACAGCAGCACCAGAGTCACCAGTATCCTCGACCGGCTCGACCGCGTCTACCTGGGACACACCTGAAGGGGCAGGACCCTGAGGGGGGAGAGGGTCTACCGGGGGGGGACCTAGCACAAGGAAGAGCGGTGGCGGGGGGAGGGAAGGAGTGCGGTAGGGGAAGAGGCGGTAGTAGGGGACCGTCTCGTCAAACGTGACATCCTGAGAGGACAGAACACGACGAGAGGTGGGGTGGTAGAACTGCCACCCTGGCGCGTCAGGGGGGAAGCCAAGGAAGACACAGGGAGCAGCACGAGGGGACAGCTTGTCCGCAGACAAGTCGTGGACAAACGCCCGAGATCCCTAGACACGGAACGCAGACGCATCGCCGACCTTCCTCGTCCACAGCAGAGCTGGGGAGGTCTCCGGCCGGGAGACCCTGGGGTGAAGGTTGATCTGATGCGCCGCGTACCAAACCGCAAACGGCCACAGAAAATGGGGGGCAGCCGCATGCATCATGGACGTACGAGCGACGTCCATGACCATGCCAATGCGGCGCTCAGCAATCCCATTTTGCTGTGGAGAGTCCGGAAGCGTAAAGGTCTGGCGGATGCCTCGTGCACGACAGTAGGCTCGCAGAAGGCCAGAGGAGAACTCTCCACCTCGGTCAGAGTGCAGACGCAAGACAGGAAAGTCCGAGCCGAAGCTCCTCCTGAGCTGGAGACGAGCTGCGCGGATCCAATCGATCAACACCTCAGTGACATCGCCCTTGCTGCGCAAGGGGAAGACTGTGGTGTAACGCGACTAGTCGTCAACCACCAGCACAAAGTAGCGCTCGTGACCCTGTCGACGGACGCGGGCCGGGCCCCACACGTCCATGTGAAGCGCCTGCAGCGGGGCCTCTGTTAGGGGAAACGGAGAGGAGTGAGCAGCAGCGCATAGCCGCCCCTCGACACAGGGGACACAGGAAGGACCAGGCCCCAAAGGAAGGGGAGGGAGGGACCGGGGAAGACCAGAGACAAGGACACGGGAAGCCATGCCTCGGAGACGAGGCAGGGAGGGGTGAGCAAGACGGTGGTGCCACAAGAGAGTCTCGTGAGACAGGAGGCGACACGAGCAGGGGGCAGACTCAGGACCAGACCTGGACACTGCAGCAAACACCTGACCCAACGCAGCTACCTGACCAGACGCAGGGACAGGAGGAGACTCAGTGGTCAAGGTGTAGAGGCTCGACCCCGGCCGACGCGTAAACGTGGCCAGGTGCCGGCCTATGCGAGTGTCCGAGCAGTGGGTCACCCGCTGACTCGCAGGAGTAAACTGGTGAACCCCCACATCCTGCAGGTCAGTAACACTCACCAAGTTCGTAGAGAACGAGGGGAGGTAAAGACCAGACAAGGTGCCAGAGGGGGCAGCCGGACACGGGAGGACAGTGGAGAAGTGAGAGAGGACAGGACCCCCAGAGGGGTCTGCCAGGGAGACTGCAACCGGCCAGCCAAGCGGCGTGAGTGTGGTGCGGTCTCGAAAGAAGGAGCGAGAAGCCCCTGAGTCAAGTGTGAAGGTGAGGCAGGCCGAAGCCGACGCGGTACCTGAGAGCGCAGACTCACCAGTACCTGAGGACGCAGACGCACTGGCACCCAGAGCAACAGCCGCACTAGCACCTAGAGCAGCAGCCTCACCAGCACCTAGAGCAGCAGCCTCAATGCCCGGATCGGGCGGGAAACACCGGTAACAGTCACCCTCGTCACTATAAGTCACAGCATACATGGCAGCAAGAATAGCATCAAAGTCAAGATCAAAGATAGCTACACCTGCCCTAGACAGCTCTCCCCAGCGGGGGATCTCAGCGGCCTCCGGGAACTGGTGACGCCAAGCGTCCATCAGGCGACCAAAGCAGCGCTGGGTGGAGTGGGCACCCCCACACTGCTCACCCGCGCGGTCGCCGGTGCGAAGGACGTAAGTGCACGGACCAAAACCCCCACCACGCTGACGCGCAGCGTACCACTCACGGAGCTGCTCAGGGGGGGGGATGTCCCGAGAACGCTGCTGCTGCTGCTGGCGCTGACCACCACCGGAGCCGCTCCGCTGCGAAGCGCCACCCCGACCAGCTCCACCCCCTCCACCACCGCCTCCTCCACCTCCGCCACCACCGTCGCCTCCGCTCCCACAGCTACTGCCTCCGCCGCCTCCGCCTCCACTGCTGCCATCGACACCTCCACCCCCGCCACCACTCCCACCGCCACCCCCACTCCCTCCGCCGCCTCCACCACCACCTTCGCCACCCCCGCTAGCTCCACCCGCGCCCTTGCCCCCTTTGCCCTTGCCTGAGCGGCGTCTCCCGCTAGGGGCAGACGCCGTACCGACCGACTCAAGACCAACAAGGTCGGCCGCAGCAGCAGAGGCGACAGAGGGCAAAAGGGGGGAAGGGGAACACCCCTCAAAGATGGGGGTGCGAGGGTCACCACGAGAGGCTCCTACAGCGACTATGCTCTTCTCCGCTGCTAGGAGGGCCTTCTCTAGGAGGTCAACAATGAGAGTGGTGGGACAGTTCGAGAGGAAGTGGTCCCTGACTACACGAAGGGAGTCACGGAGGCGGGTGACTATATAATAGAGAGTGATGTACATGGGGGGGGGGTTCTTGGCGCAGAACTCAGCAGGAAGCGCAGCGCGGTAGCGAGTGTCACTAGTGCGGAGGTGCGTAATGAGGTCAGCGACTGTGGGAAAGGCAGCAAGGTCAGGGAAGAGGTACGGCAGCATGAGGCGGCTCAGTGCAGCAGTGGCAGGGGAAGAGTAGCGCGCAACTACGGCGTCGTACAAGGTCTGAGCACTCTTGTACTGACTAAAGTGTGCGCGCTCAGTGGTAGGCAGGTGGCGACGCACAGCAAGACGTACAACAGCATCGCGAGTGGCCCACTGGGAGCGAACAGTGGCGTCGGCATCGGCAGCAGGGGCAGGGAAGGCACCAGAGGTGAGGTCAAAGAGGGAGAGACCGTCTGCCCTATCGCACTGTAGGAAAAGCTGCAAGTCATCTTCCCAGACCTCAAAGTCAATGGCCCGACCCTCAGCGTCAAAAGCGAGAACACTGGGGGTGGCCATGACAGCAGTAGGCTATTAGTGCTAACTGTAGGACAGGGGCAGTGCAGTGACAAAAGCGCTGCTCTCACCAGACAGGGAGGTTCGGGCAGCTCGGCAGCACAGTAGCATGTCAACACGGCGGCTCGGGCGACTCGGGCGGCTCAGCAGTAACTGCGGCTCGGCGGCACCAGCGGCTAGGCTCCTCTGCGGCTCAGGCGGCTCGGGCGGCTCGGGCGGAACGTACAGCTCGGGCGGCTTGGGCGGCTCTGTAGGGCGGCGGGGCCGCAGCGAAGGGCAGCGGGGCCGCAGCGAAGGGCGGCGGGGCCGCAGCGAATGGCGGCGGGGCCGTAAGGTAGGCGGCGGGGTTGCAGCAAGAGGGGCGGCGGGGCCGTAGCGAGAGGGGCAGCGGGGCCGCAGCGAAGGGCGGCAGAGCTGCAAGGTAGGCGGCGGGGCCGCAGCGAAGGGCGGCGGAGTCGCAAGGTAGGCGGAGGGGCCGCAGCGAGAGGGGCGGCGGGGCCGTAGCGAAGGGCGGCGGGGCCGCAGAGAAGGGTGGCGGGGTTGCAGCGAAGGGCGGCGGGGCCGCAGCAAAGGGCGGCGGGGCCGCAGCGAAGGGTGGCGGGGCCGCAGCGAAGGGCGGTGGGGCCTTAGGGAAGGGCGGCGGGGCCGCAGTGAAGGGCGGCGGGGCCGCAGCGAAGGACGGCGGGGCCGCAGCGAAGGGCGGCGGGGCCGCAGTGAAGGGCGGCAGGGCCGCAGCGAAGGGCGGCGGGGCCGCAGCGAAGGGCGGCGGGGCCGGGACAGGGCGGCACCGGGGCCGTAGGGCGAGGCGACGGGGCCGTAGGGCTAGGCGACGGGGCCGCTAGGACGATGGGGCCGTCAGGGTGACGGGGCCGCTAGGGCGGCGCGACGCAGTGAGAGAGAGGAGCGCGACTCGGGCTGAGCGCGCTCCGGGCAGGAAAAAAATCGATGTGGTGGGCCCTAGGCACAATTCCCACTAGGGAACCTGCTCGATACCATGAGAAAACTGAAACGGGAATGATTGACTAAGGAACGAAAGTGATACAAATATGCAACCCTAGAAATGTGTACCCCATATAGGCTACCCCACTATAGCCTACACAACATTATAATTTGACACAAGTTTGGTAACTGCACGCGGTACAGTAACAGTGAGAACATTTCCCTTTCCCGCTCTTGCATTTCAAATTCTTCCTGCTTTCAACCGTCTTTAATTATTGGCTGGTGCTCGGTCTTCGCCCTCGTTGCAGTCATTTTCGCGCCGAGCTGATACTTGGTTACTTCATGTATGTTCACCAACAATTCCACATCGTAACACAGATGAATCGTGAAATAAAAAATAAATCATCTTACGTGTATTGCCTGCAAAAACAATCAATACACTTAGTGAGGTTATGTTTTTTTATCTCATAAATAAAAAAGCCTTGTCATCCCCCATATATGATCTCACACATAAATTAAAGTCATGTCCTAATAAGCATGTCTTAAAGCCCGAGTTCTGCATGGCAATTTTCAAGTTCAAGATTCCTGAATATGACTTCGCAAAAAACCATGTTACCACCCGAAGTGGAGGATATCCGTCGCGATCCAGAGGGGAGGTTTTGCGACGTTGTTCCATGATTGGCCAGCGACAAAACCAATCATACCGAGTAAAGGGTCGGAGGGCAATGGAGCACTGTTCACTTTCAGTAAACTTGAAAACCATGTTGTACTAAATGGCAGGCATATTGACAGCCTACGTTTACTTACCGGTAGTTCACCCGTTTTTCACGCCCAAACTTTCTCCGCTTCTTCCCGTCGCCCTCCCTTCCCGTCGCCTTCCCTTCCCGTCGCCCTCCCTTCCCGTCGCCCTCCCTTCCCGTCGCCCTTCCTTCCCGTCGCCCTCCCTTCCCGTCGCCCTCGCTTTCCCCGTCGCCCTGCCATCCACTCCCCGTCGCCCTCGCCTTCCCTCCCGTCTCCCTTCCCATCTCGCACACTTGTCACCCTCCCTTTTCTCTCCCTACTCCCTCTTTTCCCTCCCTCCAATAATCGCCTTCCTTCCCCCAACTTATACCCCTTCCCTGCTTCCCCCCATCCCCTGCCTTGCTTCCCCCCATCCTCTTCATTCTTTCCCCGTATCCCCAGCCCTGCTTCCCCCCATCCCCTTCCCTGCTTCCCCCCATCTCCTTCCCTTCTTCCCCCCATCTCCGTCCCTGCTTCCCCCCATCCCCCTCCCTGCTTCCCCCCATACCCCTTCCCTGCTTCCCCCCATCCCCTTCCCTGCTTCCCCCCATCCCCTTCCCTGCTTCCCCCCATCCCCTTCCCTGCTCCCCCCCATCTCCATCCCTGCTTCCCCCCATACCCCTCCCTGCTTCCCCCCATCCCCCTCTCTGCTTCCCCCATACCCCTCCCTGCTTCCCCCTATCCCCTTCCCTGTTCCCCCCCATCCCCTTCCCTGCTTCCCCCTCATCCCCCTCCCTGCTTCCCCCCATCCCCTTCCCTGCTCCCCCCCATCCCCTTCCCTGTTCCCCCCCGTTCCCTTCCCTGCTTCCCTCATCCCCTGCCCTGCTTCCCCATGTCCCCTGCCCTACTTCCCCCAATCCCCTTCCCTGCTTCCCCCCATCTCCTTCCCTTCTTCCCCCCATCTCCGTCCCTGCTTCCCCCCATCCCCCTCCCTGCTTCCCCCCATACCCCTCCCTGCTTCCCCCCATCCCCCTCTCTGCTTCCCCCCATACCCCTCCCTGCTTCCCCCCATCCCCTTCCCTGTTCCCCCCCATCCCCTTCCCTGCTTCCCCCCCATCCCCCTCCCTGCTTCCCCCCATCCCCTTCCCTGTTCCCCCCCATCCCCTTCCCCGCTTCCCCCGCATCCCCCTCCCTGCTTCCCCCCATCCCCTTCGCTATTCCCCCCCATTCTCTTCCCTGCTTCCCCCCATCCCCTTCCCTGCTTCCCCCCATCTCCTTCCCTGCTTCCCCCCATCCCGTTCCCTGCTTCCCCCCATCCCCTTCCCTGCTTCCCCCCATCCCGTTCCCTGCTTCCCCCCATCCCCTTCCCTGCTCCCCCCCATAATCTCTGCCCAGGTGTCCTTCTTATTCATTCTGTTCCGCCCACCCTCTCCCATTCCGTTCTGCCGCCATCTCTCATTCTTCCCACCCTCTCTCTCCCTCCTCCCGCACTCTCTCTCTCTCTCTCCTCGCACCCACACTATCTCTCTCCTTCCTCCCGCACTCTCACAATCCTTCCCACCACCCTCAGCCCTCCTTCCCCCCCCCCTCTGCCATGTTCCCACCTGCCCTGCCCTCCCTATCCCTGCCTTTCCCTCCCTGCCCTGCGCTTCCTTTCCCCATCCCTTCTCAACCCTTTCCTTCCCTTTCATGCCTTCCCCGTCCCCCTCACTACTCACCTACCACTCTCTAGTTCCCATGCATGTGGACCCATCACTGTCTCCCCGTACACGCTTTCATCATGTGCCGTTGCTGTTGCCGTTGGTCCCTTGCACCTCACACCACCTCCCCCATGTTCCTTCACAAAATTCTTTCTGCCTTCTCCATTCCCCTATTTTTCAATGGTGAAGCAAAGGAGCAACAATTGCTAGCTGAGGCGCAGCTAGTCGATGCTTTACACCGTAACACCACCTGTTACGTGTCTGTTGTATGCGCGCATCGTACTGTATTACTGTTGGAGATATGCATCCCAAAGGCACACTATGTACGGTACTTTTGTTTCTGCAGTGCAAGATATTCTTCTAAGATGCATAGGCATGTACGCATGTTCTAATACTTTTGATTGTAGGCAAGGGTCAAGGGAAGCAATACATATACGACTGAACCTTTCTCAAGGCCCTGAAAAAACACTGGAGGGGAACTGTAACTCTACGAGCATGGGATGGGATGATGGGTAGAGGTGAGTTGAAGTACCAGAAAAAACTTCAGTGGTTTACTGCAATAGCCAGGGGGAGGGAGAGAATACAAGGGATTGGGAGGGGGAGCAAGAAAAAAGTCAAACAGATAGAGATTAGAAGAGTGGAGATAGGGGAGACAGGGAAGAGGGTGAAGAGGAGAGAGAAGCAGGGGGGAAGAGAAAGGGGGAGATAAGACGATGGGAAAGGGGATAGGAAGAGGGGAGGAAAGGGAAGGAGGAGACAGGAAGAGAGTGAGAGGGAAAGAAGAAAATACTGTAGGAAGAGGGAGCATAGGGAAGAGGGAGATAGGGAAGAGGAGAGATAGGGAAGAGGGGAGATAGGGAAGAGGGGAGATAGGGAAGAGGGGAGATAGGGAAGAGCGGGAGAGGGAAAGCGAGAGATAGGAAGTTGAAACAAGGGGAGGAAGAGGGGGAAACAAGGGGAACCAGGGAGGGAAACGAGGTGAAACAGAGGGGGAAATCATGGGAAGCAGCGGGGGAAATGAGGAGAAGCAGGGGGGGGAATGAGGGGAAGCAGGTAAAAACAAGGAAAGCAGGGAGGGAAATGAGGTGAAGCAGGGAGGGAAATGAGGGAAGCAAGGGGGGAAATGAGAGGAATCAAGGGGGGGAATCAGGGGAAGCAGGAGGGTACAAACATGGAAAGCAGGGAGAAAATGGGGTGAAGCAAGGAGGGAAATGAGGGGAAGCAGGGGAGTAAATGAGGAGAAGCAGGGTGGAGGGGAAGCAGGAGGGATAATGAGGAAAGGCAGTGCTGGAAATGAGGGGAAAGAGGGGGAAAAAATGAGGGGAAGGAGGGGGGGAAATGAGGGGAAGGAGGGGGGGGAATTAGGGGAAGCAGAGGGGGAAACAATGAGAGCAGACGGGGAAACGAGGGGAAGCAGCGGGGTAAATGAGGGGAACGAGGAGAAAGGGAAGCAAAGGGAGGAATGAAGGGAAGTAGAGCAGGAAACGAGAGGAAGCAGGAGGGTAAAAATTAGGGAAATCAGGGGGGAAATAGGGGAAGCAGAGGGGAAAACGAGAGGAAGCAGGGGAGTAAATGAGGGGAAGCAGAGGGAAGAATGAGGGGAAGCAGGCGGAGAAATGAGGGGAAGAAGGGGAGGGGAAGGAGAGGGGGAAATGAGGGGAAGGGAATGAGGGGAAGCATAGGCAAAAATAAGGGGAAGGTAACACGTGGGAATGAAAGTGCAGGGAAGCGAGGGCAAGATATGGGCAGGTGGGAGAAGGGCAGCGGGAGTGGAGGCGTGAGGAGGGGCAGCGCGACGAGGGTGCTGGCGCACTGATGGCAAGGGATGCGCGGCGAGGTGAGCGAGGCGCGGCGAGGCGAGCGGAGGCACGGCGAGGCGATCGAAGGCGCGGCGCGGCGAGCTTAGGCGCTGCGAGGCGAGCGGAGGCGCGGCGAAGTAATCGGAGGCGCGGCGAGGCTAGCGGAGGCGCGGCGAGGCTAGCGGAGACGCGGCGAGGCGATCGGAGGCGCGGCGCCGCGAGCAGAGGCACTGCAAGGCTATTGGAGTGTGAAGGGAATCATACTTAGCATTCCCGTAGGTGCAGCAGTATCGCACCTGACTCTATCGAAACAGCAACTACCGCAATATCGGATCAGCCCGTAACAAGGGCAGGAAGGTCAACAGTCGCAAGAGTCAACTGTCGCGACTGTTGACCATCTCGACCGACGCTTGACTCACCATCGAGGAATGACAACAGGCGTAACCGTACAGGCTAAATGCAGCGACTCGGTAACAAGAAAGGCAGTACAACAGTCAGAGTCACTGTAGAAATGCCTGTAAAACATTTATAATAAGGGAATGTACCCCTTAGAGTAAATGGCTAGACTAGGACTATTTATATTCCTTGTGTTCTATCTTTTAATCAACTTGGTCATCTACATTAACTATGATCTGAGTTCTTACAAGACTTCCGCTACCAACTCTACCAAAGCACCTCCTATCCTATCGAAGATCCTTCCTCTAACATGGTATGAGAGCAAGTTTGGATTATAGGATCTGCTAAAAGGGCTTCCAACAAATGCTTCTTCATAACTTAAATCTCAAGAACAACGACATCAAAGGGCATCAGCATGCCACGCGCAGACTGCGGAGAAGCTGGAGAAAATCCAGTACAACCCTCCACCAATGTCGCCTCTACCACGACGACCGTGGACATAGCTCTACTCGAGCAACTAATTTCCCGCATCAGCGCACTGGAGAGCCATCAGCCAATGAGCATTGACGGCTCAAGTTACGCCCGAAGACCTCCCGATCCTCAAGGAGCTGGATCTGAGCAATCCTTCACCTTCGACAACCGCGGAGCTCAAGGACCTGCTCAAGCACAACAAACACATTACGAGGCAATGGCTTCAATGCAGAGCAAGTTCCTCTCCATGTCGAAGCTCAGAACTACCAAGCCCTTTAACGGACAAGATTTCTACACGTGGAGCTTCGAATTTGAGCTACTAGCTCAGGGCGCTCAAATCTGGATGTACTACAACGGATCATATCCTTTTCCAACAAACGGCTCACCTCAAGACAAGACGCAATACTACAACGAATCACTCCTGGCCTTCACCGTCCTGATCCGAAACCTGTCGCTCGAAGAACAGCTGAGCATTCGCCCCTTCAAAAACGAGTGGGCACCCGCGCAACAGCCCTGGGAACACCTGCGCACCTACCATATGGCAACAGATTCGGTGACACTCAGTTGCCTGCTCAACCAGCTGAATAACGTCAAGATGTTTCCCGGCGAAAAGGCCGGACCATACGTCAACCGCTGCAGGAACGTGAGAGATCAATTCAGGAAAAGCGGTGGCAACTTCCCTGACGACATGTTCGTCACCATCATCCTTGCTGGATTGAGCTCGGAATGGCGCCAACGTAAGTCCCTCCTTTGCACACAAGGCACTCTCAGCGAAACTGCCCTCTGCTCCACGCTTCTCTCTGAGCAAAAGGAAATCGACCTGTACAACGAACGAGGCAACAAGAAGGAGAAGATTGCCTTTTACGCTCAAGCGCCACCGGACAAGAAAAGACTCTTCGGCAAGTACTGCAAGAAGACTGGGCCCATGATTCAAGACTGCTGGAAGCTGAACGGCAACAACAACAACCAGAAGGGTGCCGCTGCTCACCAGCAAGTAGGAGCTGCAGCGCGCAACCAAACTGTGTCGTTGCCAGCACGTCCCAAGCCCCGCCGCGTCTTTCTGCGAACACAAGCGATAAGGGCAAAAGCAAGGTCTTGACTTGCATGGTGCATCGTGGACCGCCTCACCCCAACCCTCACTACCGCTTCTTCCGCAACTAGGAAGACATGTTCGCAGACCCGCCTCAGGAGCGGCCCAAAGGAACAGTCGAAGAAGAAGTGGAGAATGATCCAACCTACGACGAGTTGACGGTTGGACGAATGCAGTTTGACTGGGAAGCGCCGGAGTGGATTCAGGAGTCACCACCTGCACGCATCGTAGATGACGACGAAGAATGTTACTATGACTACGAAAGTAATCACGACATGGACCATCACATCACTCCGAAGCTTGCCAACCTGGCCAAGGCAAGAAAGGAAGTCAACACGTGGTGCCTGGACAGCTGCTGTGGTCAGCACATGGTGTCTTCGGATGTCTTCATCCTCAACAGAGAGCGACTCTTCAACGAAGTGGAGATCACCGTCGCCAATAGCCAAACCATTTACGCCAGAAGCCGTGGACAAGTGCAACTGGATTCACACGACACCGGCTACTGCATCCACATCAGCGATGTTCTCATTGTGCCGGAGCTTCGGTACAATCTTCTATCGCTCCACCAACTGATGAAGTGCGGAGTTGGCCTGCAAACGACAGAAGACGAAATGCACTTAATATACAACGACATCTTCATCGAAAAGGCAACAAGTGTGGAAGGCATTTTCGTGCTCGACTTCGAGTCGCCCAGAACCACCGGCGACAACGAACACATCCTCGTTCTTGACCCTCCGGGTCAGCCGTCGCCACCAAGATGGAGCCACCCAGAAGAAACCGACTATCAGCAACCCGGCCTTGACGGCACCTTCCGCGCCCTTGCCGTACCCGTCGCCTCAACAACAAACCCTGCCGAAACATGACCGCGAGCAGTGGAAGAAGGAGAAGATATTATATCAGAAACGGCAGTTGAAACAGCTGAGCCAACAGGCACGCAAACCTTCTGGCCACCTGTCAAACACCCCACCGGCTGGAACACAACTGAAGGATGGGACGGAGTTGATATGCGTCAAATCATGGAGAACACAGCGCTGGGCGAAGCCATCGCAGCTGAAACTGGATGGGGCAACATCGCCGACGCACCTGCAGAAGAAGCAGCAGAGGAACCAGAAATCCCTGAAGAAGCACCAGAAGCCGAGGAGGCGTCACTGACGGAATACGGACCTCACCTGCTTCCCATCAAAACGGACGGCAGAGACTATCTTCGCCTCGAGACAAGGGGAGTGGCGATCGGCGATACCCTATTCGAGGAAGACGAAGTTGCGCGACCCGAAGA